CACACACACACACACACACACACACACACACACACACACACACACACACACACACACCGGTGCTCCTACAGGCACCGCCATCTTGTTTTTGCCTTCTGTGCATGCACAGAGCAATTTTTGTTGCACTGTGCATGTTGCACTGTGCCGTATGCGCATCAAACATCCTTTGATGCCCTGACCGAACCGGCAGTAATGACAACCGGAACCCACCCCTGCCTTGCCTGCATCTTAACCATGCCACCATGTGTTGGGCTATCTCTGAGAGTTCTCTGCAGAATCTTCCCTTGGTTCCTGGGTTTGAGCTGTGTTGAGGGTTTACAGTAGCTGGTATATCCATGCCTCATAATAACTGCTAGGCTCTGTAATGGTGGGTATGGTAGTGATATTCCAGCATCATGTGTTGGTTGAACATCCAGGTCTTCTTGAATCTGGGATGTAATGTATAGTTGATCTATTTCAAGTTGTAAGAGTAGCTTGCTCATCACTATATTGATGCATTTCTGAAGTTAATGTGGGCATTGTTCTTCTGCCCATCCATGGTTCCCTCATACATTTCATATATCTGCTCTCCTTAGGTACACTGCTTTAATAGCATTCCATCAATTGCAGGTTCTCTTGTCTCATCCATGTATACTTTGTTCCAATAGCCCATGTATTGTCAGATTTTTCCTGGTTCCCCAACATTTGGTGCCGAACTTATTAATTCAGGTGATGTCCAAAGTGGCATGGTTGTTTTTGCCTCTGTAGCTTTCATATCTGAGATAGACAGGCGAAGATTTAGGGCATCTTTGCCCAAGGACCCTTACTATTAATATAGGTACGTGCCAGAATTCAAAGCCTGGTCTCCTGCATCAAAGGGCAACATCTAATCACTACATTATCCAGTCACTCTCCCACTTTAATATCCATTTGCATTTCATTGAAAATGACTCTTTTCCCCTACACACACATCTTCTGAAATGGATAGCATACATTCATTTCTCTTACACGAACATCTTCTGAAGTGGACAACTTCTGTTTTTCAGTTTTTTCTGGACCTTCAGGATGGCAGGATATTTTCTTCTTCTCTTTTTAAAGACAAATTTGAATTTTATATTGTGCATACAATATAACAATAATATAATACAATAAGAGCCAAGGTGGCGCAGTGGTTAAATGCAGCACTGCAGGCTACTGCTAGATCAGCAGGTCAGCGGTTCAAATCTCACCGGCTCAGGGTNGGTCAAAGGTGTCCCTCTTTACCAATCTGAAAATCTGGTCACCTTAATCATGTGCAGATCCTGTCTTAAGCATCCAGAGAGTTGCAATTGTAAGATGGGTGGCTATATTTATTGACCTTAAGTATGAATTATTCAAATCAAAGTTCAAGGCCATTTGAGTGCAATAAGTGAAACACAGTATTACATCTCTTGTGTATTCATATTATATATGTTACAAGCAGCCTTCTTACTCACTGCAAGCAGCCTTCCTACGTCGACTACCTGCAGTGAGTAGAATACGAATTGGGTCTTCTTCTACCCAATCAACAATTGGAGGGTTCTGCCCTCCAGAAAACAGGAAAAGAATGAACCGGGAAAGAGGAGGAGGGAGAGTGGGGCAAGGGGTGCCCAGAAGCTTTTTACTTGTGGAAAGACGACCCGAGAGGCTGGCAAATGCCGCCGGGCACTAAAGAAGAGGAGGATAAACACCTGCTTGACCACTTGCAAGCTCACGTGGACCGAGCTGTCTCTCGGTAGAGCCAGCGAGGCATCGTCCTAGCCTTCCGGAGGCTTCTGCGGTAACTCCCGTTTGGTTTGTCCTATCCCGGGAGGCGTCGGGATTCCGCCAACTCCCGCGGACGCCCAGTTGAGCTCAGCGATTTTTCGGCGCCGGAAAACCCAGACAGGCGGGCGGGCGGGCGGCGGAGTGGCAAAGCCAGGGCCGAGTGAAGCAACAACCGTCGGACAGGAAAGGAAGTGCGTCTTGTCCTCTGGCAGGGCACAGGGACCTTTCTGCGGGCTTCGACTGAGCCGCCCTCGAGCAGGAGGTAAGCGGCCGCCCGCAAGCCAAACTTCGAGGGAGCGAGCGAGCGAGCCCCGCCAAGCACTTCCTGAGCAGCCGAGCCAAAACCGAGACGGCGCGCGCCGGCAAGCAGGCAGGGAGGCAGGGCGCGCGGATGAAGACGGGACCTTAAGCCAAGGCCCCAGATGGCCCCCTTGCGCAAAGGGTCCTACGGGAGCTCAGACCGGGACCGCTCTTGGGAAGCCTTCCAGAATAACCCCGGCTTTCTCGCTCTAAAGGTACGGCTGCAGCCCAACGACTGCTCTCCCTCAGCCCGCTTTTCTCGCGCGTCCCGGGGTCCCGCCGCTGCCCCCCCCTTCCTCAGCTTTTGACGGGAGAGAAAAAGGACGAGGCGCGGAAGGCGGGCTGTTTATTAATGCCCCTTGGACGAGGCGCAGCAACGGACAGAAGACAGTTTGGTGGCTCCCCGTTCGGTGAAGAGTCCCGAGGGTCGCCAATTCTGCTTTAAAAATCTTCCAAAGACTCCCCGTTAGAAAACTTTGGAGCGGGTCTCTCCAAATTCTCTCTGGCTCTCCGACCAAGTGGGGAGGGGCGNCCACCTGGTCACATGGCCAGCAAGCCACTCCCACAAAGCAGGCCACACCTACAGAAGAGGTTCTGAAAAAATTTGAAACCCACCACTGCCCAGCTGGTGCCCACATTGGTGTAGTCAATCTACAGTTTCAAGGAAAGTTGCTACATCAATGTACCATTTATCAAAGGATAATCAGTCTCTTTTATTCAATATTCTCTTGTTAGAGACATTCAGATATTTGACTTTCCACAGTATTGGAAATAATTTCATGTCTGGCTGAATTGCATTAGAGTGACTTTGGTGTCTTGTTGTTTTCATAGATGTGAAATCTCTGCATGCTACAAACCCAAGACCAATGAGCCCTGCATCAGAAGAAATTCCACTTCATTACTTCCTCCCCAAGATTCCTCTGATTTCTGCTCTCTTCTGTGCTTGCCAATTACTACTTTTAGTGGAGCACTTCCTTAAGAATACCAGAAAGAATGGACTGGATCAACCTGCCTCAAATGCTGACTGAAATTGCTGCCAAATTGGGATCAGCTACCAAAAATTGGCCAAAAGAAAGAAAGAAAATTCACGGTTCCTGAGTTGCCTCCTTGGAGTCTTAGAAGGACAACATCCCAAGCTTAGCAAATGAATATAAAGTGAAAAGCCATATCTTAAGAGGTGGAATATTACTTCTTTGACTGTTGTTGAGTGTTGCTGAAATACTGTATTTGTGGCGCCTGGAATAAAAGTCAAAAAAGCACATCTGAAATGTAGAGAAAGGATAAGAAGACTGGCCAATCTATGTGAAATTTCATCCCACGAGATGAAGAAATTGCAGTCTTTCCTTTTTCACAGTGTATCCGAGGATATATATGATGAGAACAGGTACTTGGCCTACGAGCCAGTTTAAACCAGCCAAGACAATGGTTGAAGAAGTTCAGAGACAAGTTGATAGACTTGGTCGCCATTCATGAATTGCTTTGGCAATAGCATCTTTGCATTATTTGAGCTGCCTCCTGGAGATATGGGCAAGGAGAACAAGGGAGCAGAAAAGAAAAGGCTGTTTTATTTGGTTATATATTTCTTTCTGTGCCATTGATATATCTGCAAGCATTGAATGAAACGAAAGAGCAAACTTGACAAACGAAAACATTGAGCAAAATAAGCTTGTAGGCTAGCATGATTTTATGACAAATGCAATGCTTTCCCATTTCAAAGGGTCTGGAAAATATATTATTGTTTATTTATTGGCGAGTATCCCAATTCTTTGGAAACATTGCTAGAAAATATATGTTAAATATCTCCTATGATGTGATCTGTGGAGCTGGGCAGTTTTGGCGATTGGGGGCTTTTTTCTAACTGAGGGACACAAGATGACTCCTTGCACTGGCATGAATTGTGCCAAGCAGCCCCAGCACTTTACCGAATGAAAAATATAAACCTCATAAAGATTCAACATTCTTAGATTTGCAGGGGAAAGATGTAACTTGAACTAGGACTGTTTTAAATCCAATGTTTCTGAAACGTTTTTACCTGTTTTTAGAATTCTTGATCAAATCCAATAGCCTCTAATATCTTTGACCAACTCCGAACTTAGCAACTCCATGGAGTTTCGTCTAATATCCAACTCTGCCACAAGGTTATTTACAAGGTTAATTATTTAAATGGTCATAACCATCACTCATGTGCAATCTATGGTGCTGTATTCTTGGACAGGGGAATGTGTCTGCATATCGGAATATTCAGGGTACACTTCTAGAGCAACAGTTGTCAGTTGGTGCATGCAGGTTTTTAGAAATAATACCCAAAGATAACCTAACAGAAAACCACCACAACAATATTTTTCCATCCAATCAAAAAGAAAAAAGAAAGGCTCTATTGAGTTTTATAGAACAACTAACCAAAAGCTTGGAGTCTATTGGAGTTGCCTATAATTTGTGGCCTATAAATTATAAGGTTGCCTATAAATTATAAATAAAACATGCAACTAAGAATAAATGAGGTCCCTTTTCATCATCATCTTATTTAAAGTAAATAATTTTAACATTTATCAGCAATAAGATGCACTATACATTTCCTTGACCTGAGGAAGGATATCACACCCACTTTTTCAAAGAGGTGGAGCTTAATAAAAAAAAGACATTTGAAACTCTGTTCAGAAAGAAAAAGTAAAACTGAAGAATTGTAAAGAACATTTTAAAAGCTCATCTACTTTTTCTACTGCAGTAACTTAGTTTAAACACACAGTGCCTGGTTAATATGAATATTACTTCTGAAAACATTTCCTCCAAGAATTAAGAAAATCTGAAAAATCATATTCATTTAAGCACAATTCTTAGAGTGAGATGCAATGCAATTTCTTCAAAACATCAATATCAGCTTCAGCGTAAGGAAATACATTGGTGAAAAATTGCGAAGGAAAGGTATAATTTCAATTTCTCTTCTAGATAGCAATCAATAGATATAGCACACAAACTATTGAATGCCATAATGTGCTGATTTAACAGCTTGGTAGTTTGTTTGGCTTTTTAATCTTTTAGTTTTATTCCTTGAATAATTTTCCCTTGGTTCATTTTTAAAAATCTTATTTTCCCATCTCAGTGCACCTGACCTAAATGGCCAGTTAAACAGTCAGCAATCTGCCAAATAGCACACAGCACTTTGGTTTTCAGTGACTGCAAAGGAATTAAATATTTCTGTAACCAATGCAAAACTTTTCAATTAAAATAAAGTATGTTTATGTTTGCAGAGCTTTTTCTTAATAAAGATAAGAATTGCCCTATGGAATGAATTTGTATATAAATATTCTGTAAATTTTTGTGATCTGGTTTTATAAAAATATATTTTAATTATGCCTGTAAAATTATTTGTCTAATAAAGGTCATTTTCCTAATTCATGACTCTGTATATTTTCTTAAACAAAGTTAGGGGATATTTTGTATGAAACGTCATTGGATTTGCAATGCTCATGAACAGTTTGATACTGAAATGAATAAATCATTGGGTTAATTTTTAGTTGAGTTTTGTTAAAATGAAGTTCACACCTATGGAAAAAGGTGGCATAAAATAGTCTCTAATATAAGTTCCAAGAAAATCTTTCTCATCATTAAAAATTATTGTTGTGATCTTCCTTGCTAGTTAATAGATATGCTAAGAACCCACGAGGGCGCTTACCTGAGCAATGTGGTGGGAGAGATCATAATAAAAAGTCAGCTTGATAATCATATTCTTTGTCAACAAACCATGTTAATTTCTTGGATGGCTCATGAAATCATGAGCAAAGCTCTGACCACTTTTAAAATTATTCTATGGCACTCTTAACACTTTAAAAAAATTATACTTAAAAATACTATGGAAAAATTATTACTGTTTAAAAGAAGTGTAGCATCCTGATGGTCAATTTATATTCAATGCAGCTCTTGTTTTTCCTGTCACTGGGCCAACACTGCAAACTCTACTTCTTCCTCTTTCCTTTAAGGAAATGAATTCAAATTACTTATTCAGTCCTCTCTCCTTGTATTCAACAATATCAGATAAAGGAGAGAGGGTTGTTGTTAAAATTCAGCATCCTCTTCCTTGCATCTTTTGTTATGGATAATCTTCTATAATGATGAGATTTTCATCTGCTAGCTGTTAGCATATATGGATTTTTTTTCAGACATTCCCTTAAACATTTGTAAACTAAGATTTATCAGAAAGACAAGTGCAATATTAGAAATGACAGAAATACAATTTATTACAAAGGAGGAGATCTGCTGCTTACAATTCTAATAAGCATAATAAAGATGGAAGTTTTCTACTTACAGTAAAAAAAAAACTCCAATTCAACTCTAGCTCCAAAAACTAAGGGGTCCAACCTGTGATGAATCGTATGGCTCCAAGACTTAAAGAGCAAAAAATATAGCACTTTATCAGGTATAAAACACAGATTTTATATTTCCCTTGTTGGTGGGTTAGTAGGTGACATTATCTGCTGTATTATGATTCTCAGCACCTGTAGTCCACCCAGCTGGGAGTTATCCTGCACATGGGATCTAGGAGAAACAGCCTAAGGATAGTACCGTAGTACCGCACATCCCCCCCAAAAAATAGGGTGAAAATCTGGGTGTGTCTTATACACTGAATACAGCATTTTTGGCCTACCAAAGCACCGCCCCCTTTGCAAACATGGATGTGCAGAGGGTTTGAGAGGCTTGTACAGTGCTCCTAGGGGTTGGGGAGGGCAAAAACAGGCAAAATATGAGCTGTTTTTCTCATTTTTGCCCAGCCCCCAAGAGCACTCTACAAGCCTCCCAAAGGCTCTGCATGCCCCCCCCCCTCCTTTTTTGCAAAAAACGAGGCATGCAGAGGGTTTGGAAGGCCTGCAGAGTGCAAACCCTTTTTTTTTTAAAATTTACCTCTTCAAAATCATGGTGCGTCTTATACTCCAGTGTGTCTTTTAGTCCAAAAAATACAGTAACTTGAAGACATAGAAAAGTATTTAATTGGAGTGTGTCATGAATGAAAATGTGTATACCTGATTGCAAAAATCCTAAGATGCTCTTTCAAACAAAGCCCTCTTCTTTGTGAAGGCAGAAACCCTTTAGCCTTGGTTTTAAAATGTAACCTAATTATTTCCATGATATTTGTTTAGTGGTTCTGATCAGATAAAGCGATCTAGCCTCATGCCACTGAAAGCATCCTCTTGAAAGGCTTCCTGCTCTGTGTCTGCAGGAAAGCACCTCTTGTAAACATCGGAACTTACTGTGATGTATACATTGCAGGAGGTCAGCCCCCTTAGTCTATGGTGGCAAAAAACCAAGAAGAATTCGGTTAACCTTCTTTTTGACTGCTACCTTTTATTAAAAGTTCTAAGATCATCTTTCTGCAGAAGAGTGCTGTAAACACCGCTGGATCAGATTAATGTGGGTTAGATTTTGGAGAAAACATCTGATCTGGGCTGAATCTGGACATCGGAAAGAACTGATACAAAACCTCACTTGGACCCAAACCTGGAGTAGAGTGAGCCTTCAAGGAGCAAAACAACAGTTGTGACCACAAATCCTGGAACATGTGACTGGCTTTCTGCACTTAGTGCCTGCTGTGGCAGCTGGAGTTTGACAGCTGGAACAGCTTCACTGAGTGCACCAGAGGTTAGTGTAGAGAACTTACAGAAAGCCTATTCAGTGAATTCTTGTTTGGTCTTTAACAAATATCCCCATTCTTCCTTAGAACAGCTCATGTTATGTAATCCCTCTCATTTATTCTCATAACAACATTATGGAGGCTGAGACCTTTTAAAAAAAATCGTAGTGATCTAATTTATTCCACAGCTACCGTATTTTTCAGAGTATAAGATGCATCTTTTCCCCCCCAAAAAAGAGAGTGAAAATCTGGGTGCATCTTATACATTGAATACAGCATTTTTGCTTGCCGAAACCCCGGCCCCTTTATGGGAATTAAGAATTATGTATTACCTTGTTTCACTTCTTCAAAATATATGAAACTGACTACTATTAACCCATGTTGTTTCTTAATGTCTTATTTCACAATGCACAAAGAAGGAGTTTGGGGGGAAATAAGAGTGCTTTGACAGTACCAGGGGAGTGCAAAAATGAGTGAACAATGGGCCGTTTTGTGCTCATTTCTGCCCCCCCTCCCAGCTCCCAGGATTACTCTACAAGCCTCCTTAAGGCCATACCCTCTTTTTTGGCAAAAAACA